GTTTGAGAGGAAAAACTATCATTAAATCTATCCCACGTTTTCTTAAGCTTCCATGGAGAAGCCGAGAATTCCCTGTCCCCAGTCACCTCCTCTAGCATGTATGGAGGAACAGCAAGGCATTCCCAGACTGAGTGAGAGATATGATCTCTCCAGGGTGTCCTGGGGCCTCCTCTCAGTGGGACATGCCTGGAACACTTCACCCAGGAAGCATCCTGGTCAGATACCTGAACCACATGAACCGGCTCCTTTCAATGTGGAGGAGCAGTGGTTCTACTCTGAGCCCTTCCCAAATGGCCGACTTCTTCACCCTATCTCAAAGAGAGAGGCCATTCAATCTTCAGAGAAAGCTCATTTCGGCCGCTTATATCTGAAGTATTATTCCTTTGGTCACTACCCAGTAGGGATGGGAAGCTGGTTCAGGTTCAAAAGCTGGATTTGTCATACTGTGTTGGTGCTTACAAAACCACCATGAAAGCTCAAAGGTCTATATGCATATTTTAGAGCAATATATGATTTGATCCAGATGTCGTTTTCAGGGAAGACCTTGCAAATTTTAACCTAAGACAATGCTAATGCTGTATCTTTTACAAGAGTATGTCTTCATAGCACAGGAGACCTGGGAATGACCGGGCATCCCTGCAAACCAGACCTTTGCAGTAACTGAAAACATTTGGGATGTCATGAAAAGAAAATAAGAACCCAGAGAGACTCTCGTCTGACACAGGATTGTTGCAGTGATTACTTTTGTTTTGTCTTTTTTCAGCCTGAATATGGAGAATTCAAAATAGCCGAGAATGTCTTGCATCTAATTTATAACCAAGGAATGATCTGGTAAGTCTGAAAAACATTTTACAATTCCAGAACCACAGGACCTATTTCAGAGCTAATGGCCTGACCAGTGCTGACAGGTCTCCATTACCCTGTTTAACGGACTGTAGCTCTCTGTAATCTTTCCACTACACCTCTTGATTGTATTTTCTCATCTAATTTCAGAAACGTCTCCTTGCAGCAATAAATGTAATGAAGTGAAATCATGAGCCACTGAATGTAATATCTTTTATATGAAGTGTGACCTTATTGCCTGTGTGTGTGTGTGTTCAGGATGGGGGCATTTTTTTCTCCCTGTCTTCCTGCCTTTAATGTGCTGAAGCTGATTGGTCTGATGTATCTGAGGAGCTGGGCTGTACTTACCTGTAATGTTCCCCATCAGCAGGTCTTTCGAGCATCCAGGTTTGATACACACACGCACGCACACACACACACACGCACACACACACACACGCACAGATAAAACATACCCAAATCTCCAGTATAGTTAAAAAAATCATTTGATGACTTTTTATTTGGCCTAAATTTTAGTGTTTTTTCTACCATGTTGGCATTTTGAATACAGAATTTCCCACATTTGGATGAAAGTAAAGGTAAATTCAGGTAATCTTAGCAAGCTTGGTTAACTAGCTGTATCTGCACAGGTTTAATGCTGTGATGCTGCTGAATAATGGACTAATTACATATTAAATTTTCACTCACCAAAACGGAAGCACAAACCTTTTGGACTGTCTTTTCCTTACAGCACAATTTGTTAAAACAAAATCCATTAAAAATGCTGCAAAAAGGCATAAATGGTGCAAACACTATGGAGAAATCAAGGTCAGTGAGAGGTGCAGCCCAGCACTTTTCATAACCACCATCAAAACACCAAGAAAGTCTGTCTCTTATATTACATCCTTGGCTCTTTGCAGTTTGACAAAGATTTAAAATTGCCACCAAAGGCTTGTATATTGTCAGCAAAGGGAATATTTTTCTTAAGCCTGTTCACTTATCAGCCTGTGCACCAACTTATGTATACACACATATACTCAGTCAGGCCACTCTGATTTATGTTGTTTTTTTT